AGCCAATGTGTTGCTGCCATTACTCATGCTGGGAGGGGTTGGGGGTCTGCAGAAAGAGCTTTGGGATGTTGGGTCACTCACTATCCCCACTCCCATAGCTGCTCCTATGGTGTGGGGGATTATTTCAGTAGCACTCACTAACTTGCATTCCTACCTTGATTTTGTTGGGGTTTTTAAATACGATTATAGAGATGAATAGTTCCCAGGTCTTAACATGGCTACCAAGGCTGGAAGGAATTACCCCCTGAGCAGTGCTGGGCTGCTAGGGATCCTCTGTCAGGAAAAGAGGCATTTTCACATTTCTCAGCACCCCCCTTTGCTTTTTCCTCCTACTTTGTATCCCTGCTGCTCACATGGGATAGCTACATGCAAGGAAGTCAACAAGGGCTACAGGAATGAATTTCTGGAGGGGTTTTGAGAGGTTTTTTAAGCCATTTTTGTTAACAATTGCGAGATTTTTGGTCCCCACCATCTCTTGGTGCTTCCCACAAGCTGGGGTGTCATCCCATGTCTCCATCCTCTCTATCAACAAGGCTCTGCCTATGGGCAGGGAAGAGTCCTTGTCCCCTCTGGTCCCATGGGGTGACCTTCATTGTTGTTTTCTTAGCAGCACCTCTTTGTTTCTCAGCATCTCTGTACAGTAGATAGTTATTTATGGAAATGGATCCATTGTTTGGTGTGTGAAAAATAAGGACATTTAGGGTGTTTCGTCTTGGTAGATGCAGCTGGCTGGAGCATCTCATGTCTCCTATTGCCACTGAAGGTGGTTCTAGTGATGGTTTGTGTGAGGGTGACCACTGTGGGTGCTGCTGGTGACTCTCAAGCCTCTTTTGAAGGTGTACCTGGTGATTTAGGACCAGTAACTCCAACTAGCACAGGAGTCCCCCAAACCTGGGTCAACTTAAATGGTCCTAATAACATTGCCTTTGTAAATGGTGGATGTGCCATGGGCATTGGTGCATGCATGGAGAGCATCATGAAGACATGGGCAGGCAATGACCGGCCAGCATTGTGTCACTTTTGGGTTATATTACCCCCACTGGTGCTAAATTTCCCCTTCCTTTTTTTCTCCTGTTCTGTAGATTTCCAAGTTCTTCAGGAGCCAGGGGATCGGTCACAGTGGTGCGTGGTGGCATACTGGGAAGAGAAGACACGTGTGGGTCGGCTGTACTCTGTCCAAGAGCCCTCCCTGGATATCTTCTATGATCTACCTCAGGGGAATGGTTTCTGCCTCGGACAGCTCAACTCAGACAACAAAAGCCAACTGGTGCAGAAGGTCCGCAGCAAGATTGGCTACGGCATCCAGCTCACCAAGGAAGTGGACGGCGTGTGGGTGTACAACCGCAGCAGTTACCCCATCTTTATCAAGTCATCAAGTCGGCCACACTGGACAACTCTGACTCCAGGACATTGCTGGTTCACAAAGTGTTTCCAGGTTTTTCCATCAAAGCTTTTGACTACGAGAAGGCGTACAGCTTGCAGAGACCCAATGACCATGAGTTCATGCAGCAACCATGGACTGGATTTACTGTTCTGATCAGCTTTGTGAAAGGCTGGGGCCAGTGCTACACTAGACAGTTTATCAGCAGTTGCCCGTGCTGGTTGGAGGTTATTTTTAATAACCGATGACTTAAGACAGAGTGGACTTAGGGCATTTATACTAATTTGCTGCTATTTCCTTCTGAGTGCTTGCTTTTCATGCAAACCTTTTTGTTGTTGTTGTTTTGTTTTCTTTGTGTGTTGCCCCCTTTGTTTTGAGAAATAGCTTATGGAAAGATTTTTTTTTTTGCTAAATTTTTAACAAATAAATATATCTATTTTTTAAAAGTGTGAATGACCAATAACTCAAAAGGACAAGAGTAGGGGGTGGGAGGGGATGGATGTGGATGTGGATTGCATATGATAATTATTTCATGCCTCTGTGAAAGGATTATCCTAAGTGATTGATGGATTCGGAAGGCACTTGCTATATGTTACAGCTCCTTCTGTATAAAGTTGTATCCTTCTGGATAAAGCAAGATACCTCTATTTTTTACTCACTACCTTCCCATCCCCGGTGACAGTGACACCAAGACCCCTTCCCCAGCAGTGCTAACCCCATGTTGCCACCAAAGGATAGTGCAAAATCTTCCCAACCAGGTCTTTACGCACCTTTTATAATTTTTATTTTATTTTTCTTGTTGCCGAGTTGATGTCTTGTCACTGTGTTCATCCTTCCACCGCTTTTTAAATTTTTTTGTGGTCCTGGATTGATGCAAGGGGAGAAAACAACAGAGAAACCTCATGCATGGCCCATGCTTTATAATTTGAGCAAAGATGTGAAGTAACAGAAGCCTAAGCCTGAAAAAACACAAAACAAATGGGAAAACAAAAGAAAAAGTGTTCACAATTGTTGGTCTGTTATAATCTGCAATCTGCTTAGGTTATCCCAGTACCATCTGATCTGGAAATGCTGTTGTGCTTTCATTTCTTCTTGAATTCATACATGAGTATGATACTTTTACACTGCTCTTAGCTCAATGAGCATGTTTAGACCCCATCTGATCTGGAAATGCTGTTGTGCTTTCATTTCTTCTTGAATTCATACATGAGTATGATACTTTTACACTGCTCTTAGCTCAATGAGCATGTTTAGACC